CTTTTGGGATGTTTTGGTGTTGATCTTTTGTCTCCAGTTTCTCTCTATTGTGACAGCAAGGCAGCCTTGCATATTGCCTCTAATCCAGTGTTTCATGAGCGTACTAAGCACATTGAAATTGACTGTCATTTTGTTCGTGACGCACTGTTGAAGGGTTTAATTGCTCCTACTTATGTTTCTACCAAGATCCAGCTGACAGATATTTTTACTAAGGCCTTGGGTGGACAGGAATTCACGAATTTTCTCTGCAAGTTGGGCATTCGAGATTTGCATGCTCAAACTTGAGGGGGGGTGTAACGGATAATTTAGGGACGATATTTTCTGTACTTATTTTTAGTATCTAAATATTCTCTATAGTTATCTTTGGTATCTAGATATTTGATTTGATATGATTTTATCTCCTGTAATCTCTATATATTTTCTGTAAAACTTTTCCTAAGATCAATACAACAAATCATCTTCTTTCTATTGTCATGTTCTCTCTTATGAATTTAGCAAATTCTGCCTCGCCACCTCAGCCAGTCAGCGGGCTGCAGCCTCTGGGCCTTCACCATTCCCGAGGCACTCAGCCACCACCGCCGCTATGTCCCATTGGAAGACATTGTCGAAGAGCCCAGTGGTCCCCATGACCACCACGTCACCGGCCTCGACTCCGACCACCAACTCGTCGGCGTGCTGGGGCCCGACGTTCCCTTCCCCCATTTGGTACGGGCAGATGAACTCGTGCACTTGGACCGGCGAGGCGTAGGCGATCCGGCCGCCACGGACCACCACGAAGCCGCTGTCCCCGAGATTCGCCGCCCGGAGGATATTATTCCGGCGGTCGAGGGCCGCGACACAAGCCGTGGAGGAGCCTCTCGACTTCGTCTTCGAGTGGGCTTTTAGGAGGACGTTTTTAGGGCCGATTGGGCCGCGGGCCACGGCACGGGCCGCGTGGGTCATGAGCTCGCGGGCGTATTCGCCGGCGTCGACTCCGCGGGCCGACCAGCCGCCAACGCCGTCGGCCACGCCGATGATGGGAGGGTCGGCAGAGATGAAGTGGGAGTCTTCGCCGAGGGGCCTGGAGGGGTTTTCCTTGGGGATGTAGTGAGAGGCGGCGCGCCACGTCAGCTTCGACTCGACGGCGGTTGGTGGCGAGAGATGTAAAGCTTTTCGGGTTTTGCGGAGGAGACGAATCAGCTTCATCTTCATCGTCGGGGCCATCTTTGTGTTTCTTTTCTTTTTGGTCTTTGTTTTTGTTTGGGGTAATTGTGTTTGTTGTACGGGGTTTGATTAATTTCGTCAGGATATTTATTTTTGTTGTTTTGCTATACCTTTTAGGGCTAGGTGTAGGACTCTGACTTAGGATTTCGTTTGGATTATTAAGATAATAATTTGATCATTATATTAATTAAAAATAAACATATTTTTGTGAAAAGTTATCTATGTTAGAACTATGTAAATATTAAAAATAAGAAAAATAACAACCCTTAACAACGAAAGATTACTTCAGAATTATATGTTGTGTCAAAACAATGAAGATAAGCACACAAGTTACAATTGTAGATTACTTTTTTTTTTTTT